GCGCTCCCTTGATAAATATCATAACTATGGTCGGATATTGAAAAAAATTTTCAAAAAAACTTTTTCGGATTTTTTCCGCATTAACGACCTTTGTGGCGGTAAAATTGCGCTCTAAGAAAAAATTTCTGAACTCGGCGGAGCCTTGGGTGAAACGCGCTCTATTGAGAATTTTCAAAAGTTGTGACGAATTGGATCTAGAAGCTCTACAGAAGTTTAGGACTTTTTGGCTTTTCAATAAACACGAAAAATTCATTAAGTCTGCTCCACTGACAATGTTTTTGGACTTGGCTCCTAAAGGGTTCCATTTTGCGGCCTTTATGGAGCCTTTTTTCTTGGTGGGTTCGAAAAAGGGTGCTGAAAGTCTTGGCCGTTGATTATTTCCGATTTGATTACTGTAGCGCATTTTGGTGCATACACAGTCTCAATTAAAAAAATTTGCGGTTCTCAAAAGGGTCCAAAAAGGGTGGATAAAGGCTGAAGAAAAGATGGAAAAAGGTTGCCACCCGTTTTGGAACAATAATGGAACCTTTTGATCCATATGGGACCCTTAAAGGGGGAAAGCCAAAAGAATGGTAGCAAACGCGCTCCATGGCTAATTTTTTGCCCCCTTGACGTCACTCCTCGACCTCGATGTTTGAAACATGACGGAAAGTTGAGATGAACTGAGGGGAATGCACTGAACTGAGGCTGAACTTGGCGCGCCAAGGCCAGGGGAACTTTATTCCGGGAAAGGGCGACGTTTCTTGGCGCCTTTTCCTTGCCCTTTCTTCCCCGGACTATCAGCTTTTGCCGTTTTCGCGGAGTTTTTGATGTCATTGGGATTTTTCTTGATATGGCGAAGAGGGTGAATTTGAAGGGGTCTGTGAAGTTGAGGAACGGAAAAAATTTTAAAAAAGGATTTTTTTAAAGATTTTAGGTCTTGAAGAGTCTGAAAAAATTGAAAGGTACGGTATTTTGGAGATGGGAATGGATTACTGTGGCCGCACTGGGAATGGCTGAATTCTAAGGCTCAGAAACGAAATTCCAGAGCCCAGTAGTTTGAAAATTGAGCCGCACCGCGACCGCAACGCTTCGAGCCATTCCAAATGCGGCCATGACGTTTTGAAACGATTTTTTTCCAGGAAAAACAAGGTAGATCTGAGTAGTACGGTAGTTTTGAGATGAAAATGAGAGAAAATTCCACTGTTTCATAATTTTTTCAAATTTTTCTGTGGTCGCACTGGGAATGGCTATGTTTGGACAACTAAAAAATAATTCTTAAGCTTCGTCATTGAAAATATAACCTTAGAAAAGCGAATTTGGTACTGCGGCCTTGAAATTTGGGCCGCAAGGCGACCGCGATGCATAAAGCCATTTCAAATGCGGTCATGACGCAAAAGAGATCATTTTTGCTCAAGTGATCCCTTAAGAGACAAGCGTTTTTGAAGGTTGCAGGATAAAAGGAGAACATCGAAATAGAGAATAGCCGCGAAAAGTCGGAAGAAAAAAAAAATGAAAAATAATGGAAGTGGTCACTTAAGGGGTGTGAAATTTCAGTTGAAGAATTTTTTGGTAGAATTGGACTTATGATTTTTCTGAGGAATCAGTTAAATTCCGAAAATTTATCGGAAAAAATTGGCAATTTATTAAAAAGTTATATCTTCCATCAAACGTACTGAGAAAAACTCTAGTGGTCACTTAAGAGGTTCCTCAAGGACTAGATGGAGAAGACACTGAAGTGGCCACTAGAATCACCTCTATAGAAGAGACTAGTGGCCACTATAGTAGTTTTAGTTGTGTAGCAGTACCACTTACACTCCTAAAAAGGCCACTAATATTTAGCCCCTCAAGTGGCCACTAACTGGACTACTATAGCGGCCACTAAAACATCAAAACCCTAAAGGGGCCACTGAAAAATTTCCCAGTACAGTAAACCCAGGACGACCACCCAGACAGCTTTTGAAGCCGTTTTTTTTTCCCAAACGCAGACTTTTTTTTTCCTTTTTTTTTTGTCTGCTCTTTGACTCGCGTGTGTACAGAAAAGTGCAACTGCACTCTCTTCTTTTTATTCGCCGAGAGTCGTTTTTTCCTCTTTCACCCTGGAAAAAGAGAACGTGGGCCGACGCTCGTTGCACTTTTAGCGCTTGGATCGGAGCAGAAAATAGAGAAAAGATCCTAGATTTTTTTCGAGAGGGACTTTTGGCAAGTTTTTGGGTTTTTTGAACGTTTTTTTCAAGTAATTTTACAATTTTCGAATTTTCAAATTTTTCGAGGGGATCATTGAAGAAGGACTTTATAGAAAATTGAATATTTTCCAAGAAATTTTACAATTTTTCCGTTTTTTCGAATTTTTAAAATCTGCTTCCTAAAGAGCGTTACAAGGGAAATATAATATTACTGAAGTTTTTTTCCATAATTTTTCGAGTTTTTTTGGGTGTTCAAGGAGAGTTTCTATGGAGGTTTTTTTGAAATTTTTTTAGATTTTTTTGTAATTTTTTTCCAATTTATCGAAGGACAATTTTGAAGGTTTCTAAATTTTTTTCAAGAGGATTTTTTTGGGTAAATGGGGAATTTTTTTGAAACCCATTTTAAGTTTTCAAAGTTTTATTTTAATTTTTTTGAGAAAATTAAATTTTTTTCCGTGTCTACACTTTTTGAATATTAAAGAAAAAAATATATGATTAATTTTTTCTTTTTTCAAGTTTTTTTCTGGATTTTTTTGAAAAAAATTTTTCATTTTTTTGTTCGAGTTTTGAAATTTTGTAGATGTTCAGGAGTAGATTTCAAGTTCTCTGATCGTTTTTTTCTGAAAGTTTATCCTGGATTTTTTTCCGAGAAAAATTGAAGATTTTTGTTCAAAAAAAATTTATTTAGTTTTTTTAATCCAGGTTTTTTTACAGATTTTTTTGCTGTAAATTTCCAAAAAGGTACCTTTTTTGTGGGTCCAGGAAATTTCTAAAATTTTTTGGTCAGACCTTTTTTTGCAGTTATCCAGAGTTCCACTGGAAAATGAGATCTTTTGTTGGAAATCCATGAAAAATTGAACTTACTTAGGATTGCTTTTTCAAAGTCTTCATATATAATTCGTAATTTGTCGGAAAATCTACTCTGTCAACGTTTTAAAATCCGAAAAGATCGAAGAATGGCAAATATTTTCATTTTTCTGAAACCGGAATAATAATTTTTGAAAAGAAAAAGTCATTTCGAGAGAACGATCGCCCCCCAAATTCTCTATTTATTATTCGAAAAAAAGCGTTCCATATTAGTATTTAATCGTGATTTTTCGGTCTTTTTCGTGTTCGTGTTTGTCCAGACACATTCACTCAAAAACGTGATTCGAAAACCCCCGAAAAAAATGGGGATCGAAAGTAGAAAAAGTTCAAACTACAGATTTTTTGGGGGAAAGACTTTTCAGGTTGATTTTTGAAATGATATGGGGTATGATAAAAAAATTTTTTTCCGAAAAATGAGAAAAAAAGTCAAAAAAAAGGCGTGAGAAAGTTCAAACTACATATTTTTTGAAAAATGTACGTTAAAATTGTTTTTTGAGATGATTTATAGTATAATAAAAATGGACTTTTTTCGAAAAAGTTGAATTAAATTGGAAAAAGATGAAGAAAAAGCAGTTCAAACTACAGATTTTTTTCGAAAAAAATGAACGTTAAAATTGTTTTTTTAATATGGTTTATAGTATAATAAAAATGGTTTTTCTCGAAAAAAAAAAGAATAACAGTCAAAAAAAAGCGTGAGAAAGCTCAAACTACAGATCTTGTGAGTACAGACCATTCAAAATAATTTCAGAAAAATGGAAATTATTATTGAAAAAGTCAAAAATCTAGTTCGAATCCGCTCAGCCATTCCAAATGCGGTCATGAATTTAGAATAGACAAAAAATGATTCACGAGTAACATAGTATCATAAGGAAATGTAAAAAAACGGTTAAAAATAAATTTTTCAAAAGGAAAACGCGACCGCGACGCGTTGAGCCATTCTAAATGCGACCAAATTTTGCTCAGCTTTTCTTGAATACAATACACTTTCATGTAGAAAAATCGCGCTCTTATATTAGAAAAAATGGCAAAAATCGAGAAAATCGAATTTGACCGCAAACGCGACCGCGACGCTTTGAGCCATTCCAAATGCGACCAAATATTTGTTACCTTTTTTGTAATCAAAAAAGATTCATATAGAAGAATCAGGCTTTTATTTTGAAATAAAAATGGCAGAAATAACGAAAAATCGGATTTCGACCTTGAACGCGACCGCGATTCATTGAGCCATTCCAAATGCGGACCTTATTTTTTTGTCCTCATTTTACAGTTTCAACTTTTTTTAATTTAAAAAAAGGGCTACATGATAATCAAACTACGCGCACTAGAAATGAAGAGGAGAGGAAAAAAGTGCAATTGACCTTTTACCCGAAATTCGCCGACGAACGGCATTTTCGAGAGAAATGAGAGAGAAGGGGAAAGATCTGTGAAATTGGATAAGAACAGCCAATTTCGACATCAATGTCGTTTGGAAAAAAATTGTGGAAATTTGAACCAATTTGGAAAAAGGACGCATTTGGAATGGATCGATACGTGAATGGTTCAAAATGGGAATATTAATTTTTTTAAATTTTTGAGCCATTCCAAATGCGAACAGTGGCTTTGAATTGAAAACTTATTGAATTTGAGATGAAAAAATTAAAAAATGTCGCATTTGGAATGACTCGATGCGTCGCGGTCGCGTTAGCGGTTCAGAAGGAAAAAATCAAATCTATAAAAATTTGAAACCAGCCAATAGCCATTCCAAAAGCGACCAGTGGCTATGAATTTGAAGCTGATTAAATTCATGATAAACGATTAAAAATGCCGCATTTGGAATGGCTCAACGCGTCGCGGTCGCGTTAGCGGTCAAAATAACCTTTTTAAAAATTTTAAGAGCTTCAGAGAGAGTTTTTCTAGTCAGGAGCCATTCCAAATGCGACCATAACCTTCAATCCATTCCTAATTGATCTTTTGATGACTATATTCTACATGGTCGCACTTGGAATGGCTCGATGCGTCGCGGTCGCGTTAGCGGTTCAGAATAGAATTAGCCAGCTTTAAAAATTTTGAAACTAGTAAAGAGTCATTCCAAATGCGACCATGAGATTCAAACTTAGGGATAACTGAGTTTATATTGAAAATATTCAAAAACGTCGCATTTGGAATGGCTCAACGTGTCGCGGTCGCGTTAGCGGTCAAAAATAACCTTTTTAAAAATTTTAAGCACTTTAGAGAGAGTTTTCCTAGTCAGGAGCCATTCCAAATGCGACCATAACCTTCAGTTCATTTCTAAATGTCCTTGTGATGAATATATTATACATGGTCGCATTTGGAATGGCTCAATATGGTCGTGATTTTCACTTTTCTTTCCCTTTTTGACCATCATCCGACCTCGATATTCAAATAAGCGGCGATTTTTTGCATTTTTGACCTTTTTCGGGCCTGACTCGGCGGCCATAAATCGCTCAGTACTTTTTCGTCCTCGGTTTCTCTTTTTTTTTCCGCCGTGAACCATCTGCCCCTGTTTTCAAACGGCCCGTGCACTTTTTCATGCGCAAAAGGACAAGGTTTTTCCTTTTTTTCTGCCATTTTTTTGTTGAAAATATGGATTTTTTTCAGATCTTTTTCAAAAAAATCTGTAAATTCCTCGAAAAAAATTCTTGAAAATATGGAATTTGTCAAATATTTATTAGAAAAAAATTCCTCGAAAAAAATTCTTATATTTTTTTCAAAATTTTTGTATGAAACAAAGGCAGGAAATTCTTGAAAAAGTTCGATTTTTTTGGCCAATTTTTTTATGGTTTTCTAGGTTTTTGTGGGGGTGGGGGGCTGTGAAAGAAGAATCAAAAAAACTCATCAAAAAAATTTTATTTTTTTGGACTTTTTGGCCAATTTTTTTGGTTGGTTTTTTAGGTTTTTGGGGCTAAAAAAATTCGGCATTTTTTTCAGAAATTTTTGTTATAAAAATTTATTTTTTTAGAGAATTTTATGGATTTAGATGTTGAATCAACAGTTATTTCGAAAAAAATTCTCGTTTTTTTACAAAACTTATGTGAAAGAATGGCAGAAAAAATCTTCAAAAGTTCGGTTTTTTGAGAATTTTCACGGATTTTCGGCCCATTTTTTTGTTGATGACTAGGTTTTGGGGCTGAAAATATGACGCTGGCTAGTTATTTTTCAGAAAAAACTGTGAATTCTCCAAAAAATTCTCATTTTTCAGAAGTTCTGGGAAAGAAAAGTAATGAATACCCCGAAAAAATTCATTTTTATGGATTTGGACCTTTTTTAGCCCAGTTTTTGTGGGTTACTAGGTTTTTGATGCTGAAAATGAAGCAATTTTTTGAAAATTCAAAGAAAAAAGTCTAAATTTTCTTCAAAAAAGTTCAAAAATATGTAGAGAAAACCGGTAGATTTTTCCAAAAAAATGACATTTTTTTCGGGTTTTTCAGCGATTTTTTTACGTTATAAATTTGTCATTTTACGGTTTTTTTCATGGCCCCTGATTCATCAGAATCATCCAAAAAGTGCCCTTTACCCATTTTTATACTGTCTGTAGTCAACTAGGAAAACAAAAATCAAGTGCAGCCGACCTTTTCGAACGGGAAATGTTATTCTTGGGTTACGGTAGCATTTTTCGGGGGGTGTTTGCGGAGTTTTTCGAGTAGTGTAGGGTGTGGGGTGTTCTTCGGACCTTTGGGAGAACTGAAAGGTTCGCACTTTTGAGGAGGGCAAGTTTTTTTGATTGGGGGGAACATTTATGGTAGATTTAAGTTAAAAAAATTCGATTATTTCACGGATAAGTGTGATTGGAAGGTCAGAAAATGGCTAAGAAGCTCTAATTTTCAAATATCTTCTAATATCCTTTTTTTAAAGTCCGTTTTTTTCATAACCGCCCGCACTTTAAAGATTTTTCAATGAGTTGTTCAAAAAAATTCGGATTCTGAGGAGGTTTTCTTCTAATAGAAGCCTTTTTCAAAACAAAAAAAGAGGTTATCATAATATTTTTATTTTATGGCCAGGCTCTGGAACCCTACAGGGACCACTTGGATTTCACCCCTATAGTGGTTTCTTTTCTCGCTCTTACCCCTATAGGGACCACTCTGGCGTTCTTAACAAATTCATCGAGATTTTTGAAAAATAGACTATTTTTTCCGGATTTCTTGAAACTTGCCTGTGACCTGAGAGGCCTGAGAAGTTACAAAAATGTACCTGGCCGCATTTGGAATGGATCAAAGCGTCGCGGTCGCGTCGCGGCTCGAGAGAGATGGAAGGAAACAGTAATTTAAACGTCCCTGCAAAAAAAAAAGTCGTTTCGTCGCCTCTTTTGCATCTCGAAAGTGCGGCCGCCCTTGACCGTTTGAAACGAAACGACGAAAAAGTGTAGGCCGACATGTTGACGAACGGAAAAAGTGCACACCGAGTCGTCTTGTTGCGGACCAAATGACCTTTCTTACCGTAATCCGCAGAGAAATATTTTTTTTCGGATTTTGGATCTTTTTGACAGTTTTTTTCATAGTTTGATCATCATTTAAACACTGTGGTCGCATTGGGAATGGCTCAAAATGGTAAAGAAGGAATTTGAGTCACAGGAGACTAACATGAGCAATATTAAGTCATTATGAGCACTTTGAAGGTTTATAGAGATTTCTCACTTATCAAACTGCATAGAAGTCAAATGATGGCTCAAAATTTTCACCTGGACTCGAACCTTTGACCCTTCCCACCTCAATCTAGACACTTACCGGCTGCTCCATCATTTTCCTTTTTTTCAAATGTTTATTTTCAGTGCGTCCGGACATTCACGGAGAAAGGAGCCCACCACATATGGAACTGCGACGATTTGCTGCCGGCTTTCATGTCAGTTTCAGCTTTTTATTGGGTTACTGTAAAACTTGAAAGATTACTGTAGATAACTTGGTTACGGTATCCCCTTTTTTCTGGATTTTCTGACCGTTGTTGTGGGATTTTAAGTAGAAGCACGTTGAAATTTAGAAAGTCTGCGTTACGGTAACGATCCTAAGGATTACTGTAGGAATGGGAAATACTACTGTAGAAGGCTTGATTACGGTACCACCTCTTTCTGTAGTTTTGAGCGATTTCGTGGACTTTTAATAAAACTACGCTAAAATGTAGGAAGAATGGGTTACGGTAACGATCTTGAAGATTACTGTAGGAATGGGAAATACTACTGTAGAAGGCTTGATTACGGTACCACCTCTTTCTGTAGTTTTGAGCGATTTCGTGGACTTTTAATAAAACTACGCTAAAATGTAGGAAGGTTGGGTTACGGTAACGATCTCAGTGTACTGTAGAAGTAAAAAGTATTACTGTGGAGGGCTTGGTTACGGTAGCTTTTTTTTTCTGAGCTTTTTGAGCATTATGAGCGTCTTTGATTAGAAGTGAAAGTAGAAATATTGGGTTACGGTAAAAAAATTTTGGATTACTGTAGTTTACAAGGATACGGTATATATATTTTTTTTTTGGCGAAATGACGATAATTTGTGCTAGAACTTCTGTTTACGTATGAAAGTTTGAGAAACCGGGTATTAGTGTATTAGAAGGGTTACGGTACGATTTTTTGAAGGTTACTGTAGCTCAGAAGACCAGGATTCACTGTGTGAAGTTCTACGAGAGGGTTGAATTTTTTTTTTCTCTCCAGTTCCTGATTCAAAGGTTCTAAGAAACATTGAAGTGAACTATTGTTTATGGAGTATTTTGCAATTTCGGTTACCGTACCCCTTTGCCAATCATTCAATGAACCTCTCAAAACGAAGAAAATCTGTTTTGAGGGCAAATTTCAGCAGAGTGAGACGAGAAAATGCATGCACTTTCAAGGTTTGCACTGGAAAAGTTTGTTTTTCGAGGAAAATTTCTGATTTTTTTAATTTTTAGAGATGATTGGACTGTATTATGGGAAATGAGGACTTTGAAAAAAATTCTAGGGCAAGAAATTTTATCTGAAATATTTTTTTTACAGACAAAAATCAAGGAAAATTGGAATTCCTTCGGAAAAAATAGAAAAAAAAAAGATTTTTCAACATTTTCGCTAGTTTTTGAATTTGTAAAGGTTCAGAAAAATCGATTTTTTTTGAATTTCAGTACTTTTATCGTAATTTTAAAAGATCAGGTTACGGTATTGACCGTCTGAATTACTGTAGTTTACGAGGATACGGTATATTTTTTTTTTGCAAAAATGACATCAAATTTTTCTGACTTGCTAGAATTTCTGTTTACGTAGGAAAGTTTGAGAAACCTTTACGGGTTACGGTAGGATTTTTTTAAAGGTTATTGTAGCTTCCTCTGAATAAGGGTTACTGTAGCTTCCAATTTCAAGGAAATTTAATTTTTTTATTAAAATACATTTTTTTGACGTTTCACTAGTCTTTTTTTGAATAGAAATTTCGAAAAAAATTTAAAGTTTTTTTCGAACTTTTTAAAAAAATGAGCCTTTTTTTCAGTATTTTTGCACCAAATTTTTGTGTTTTTTTATGGACTAAGAAGCCTTTTTGGATTGATATGAGTTTTTATTTTTTTAGAAAAATTATTATTTTTTTCAATAATAATTCATCGTTCCACAGGGTAAAACGAACAAGAATCAATTTTTAAAAATTTTTTTATTATTATTTAATAAAACGCCATATTGAATTTGTATCGAAGCAGTAACGGGAATGTGTTTTTATCAACTTTTTTTGAAATTATTGTACCCCCTTTTTTTCAGACTTGAAAGCGTATTGAGATTAGGCACAAATATTAAATCTGGATGATATTTATAAAGTGCGCCCGACCTAAGGCGACTTTTGATATGAGATAAAGGATGCAACTCGGCGCAAGTAGGTTTTAGTCGGATAAGCTGGAAAAATATTGTTTTTAAGGTAGCCGCACCGCGACCGCGACGCATTGGGAAATAAGGCCTTAATTGAATAAATAAGTTCTTCTTGAGGTAAATGCTTTGTAGATACTCATACTCTCAAAATTTCTAATTTTTCACAAAAGATTATGGTTACAGTACTCCTTGAGGTAGAAAATAAAGATTTTGGAAATCTCAACTTGCATTTTTCCTAGAAAATCACAAGAACACCAAAGTGGTCCCTTGAAGGTTCCGTTCTAGGGACCACTTTACCTCTGTCTATAGGGGGCACTCAAGCTTGCCAAAGTGGTCCCTCTAGGGGTTTGAATTACCTTATAAGGGTGCTTACTAGTCGCTTTTGTTATGGAAGCAGTTTCATGCGAGAGACTGAAGACCCTGAACCCCTAAGGGCCCGCTTTTTTGGCCCCTATAGGGGTTGTTTGTTTTCCTAACCCCTTTAGGGGCCACTCTGTCGTTCGTGAGTTAGTCTTTTTCTGTAAAATGGTCATTTTGACAGGTGGAGACTTTTCAGGAGCTTTTTTTGATTCTTCGGTGAATTTTTTGGTGACTTCCTTAAAAGGGGATTTTTTTCTTGATGACCGTTTTTGATGGTTTTCAAGCTCCCAGAATTTCACTTTGAGGTTGGGATTTTCCTGAAAAATGGCCAGAACACTCCTTGATACACCAGAAGAAGATCTTCTAAAAGTCTCAAACTGCAAAAATTCCTAGTTTCCGAGAAATAAGGACTCCCAGTGGCCTTTTAAGGGGTTTTTGCCTTTGAGGTGTCCTTTCTCGAAAACTAGGAAGTTGTGCAGGTTGAGACTTCCAGAATATCCTTCTGGTACACCAAGGAATGTTCTAACCATATTTCAGGAAAATCCCAACCGCAAATTGGTAAGACCTCCCTTGTTATGAACTTCAGAGAAGTCCCTATAGGGCGCTCTAGGGACCACTTCACCCCAACCCCTATAGGGGCCACTAATGCTTCCGAAAAGCTCTGAAAGATCTTCAGAAGTATAACTCGAGCGTATCTATAAAAGGCGATAGAAAAAAGGAGTGGATTATGGGCGGCGGCCAGATGTTGACATCAACGTACTTTTAGTTCGGGCTGGTTGTTTCTCGCCGAACTTCCTGAGATTCGAAGTGCGAGCACCGAGCAGAAAGACCGCAATTTGTTTGACTTGTTTTCCCGACCTTTTTTGGCACTTTTCCAGTGCACAATCGACTACGGTGGATCGCTTCGGGGCCCTTTTTGCGTTTTGAAATGAATCGAGGGGTTTTTGGCTTTATAGTGAGGTTATTTTTGAGTTTTTCATATGAAGATTGGGCTGTTGAATCGGGTGGATTCTAAGATTACGGTAGATCGCTTCGAGACCTTTTTGCGGTGTGGAATCTTGAGATTTTTGAGTTTATAGTTGGATTTTTTACTTGAAAAAAGATTTTTCGAGCTGATAGATGTTCAAAGAAAGTTTTGTGATCGGATAGGGTGGATTTTAAGATTACGGTAGATCGCTTCGAGACCTTTTTGCGGTGTCGTTTTGAGAGGTATCTAGAGATTTTTGGGTTTAAAATGGATTTTTGACCCGAGAGACGGGTTTTTCGAGCTGATGGATATTCAAAGAAGGTTTTCTGGCCTGATCGAGTGGATTTTAAGATTACGGTAGATCGTTTCGAGACCTTTTTGCGGGGTCGTTTTGAGGGGAATCTTGATATTTTTGGGTTTAAAATGGGTTTTTGACTCGAGAGACGGATTTTTCAAGTTGTTGGATATTCAAAGAAGGTTTTTTTGTCGGATAGGGTGAACTTTTTAAGGTTACGGTGGATCGTTTCAAGACCATTTTGCGATTCATTCGAGTTCGAAATCGAATTTTGGTTTGACCAAAATGATTCGTTTATACTTGGACACCGGTAACGCAAAATGGACGTGCTCCGGACGTCTCTGGGCAGGCCTAGGGATCACTAAAGGGTGCTGATTCTACTAAAGTAGCCACTACAAATGTCTCGACACGTCCGATTCGCGTTACCAAGGTCCGAGTAATTATTCTCAAATCGTGACTTTTATCTTTCCAGTATTTTTTTTTTGGGGACTGTACTATTTTCAAACTTCAGTGAAAGAGGAAACTTTTTTTGAAGTTGTTAAAGAGATTATCAACCCTTAAGTGGCCACTTTGTCGAGCCTTGGTACCCCTATAGAAGGAGGTCAAGTGGTCCCTAGAATGTAAACTTTAATCGCCCTCAAGACTGCCCCTCTAGGGACTACTCAGGCATTGCTAAGGATGTTCAAAGGGACGACACAGTGACAGATGAGTCACTCTTTCCAGGCTCAGCTTTTCTTAATTTTTGGCTACAGTAAGATCCTACAGTATCCCGAAACGACCAGTGCAATGTCCTTTTGAGGTCTGAAAGTGCAAAATGGCTTTTTACAGTGATACTCTACGGTAGGACACAGTAGATGAAATCTCTTTTTTGGGCTTAGCTTCGTAAATTTCCTGGCTACAGTAAGATCCTACGGTATCCAAAAATGTCACCTTGAGGTCTGAAAGGGCAAAATGGCTCTTTACAGTAGGCCTCTACGGTAAGATACAGTATATGGAACCCCCTTTTCGCTTTCCTATTTTTCGGGCTACAGTAAGACCCTACAGTATTCGAAAATGACCGGTGCAATGTCCTTTCAAGGTCTGTAAGGGCGCTGTTGCTTTTTACAGTAGTCCTTCACGGTAACATACAGTAGATGGTACCCCATTTTGCTTCGCTGTTCTTCGGGCTACAGTAAGACCTTACGGTGTCCGAAAATGTCCCATTGAGGTCTGAAAGTGCAAAATGGCTTTTTACAGTACTCCTCTACGGTATCATACAGTAGATGGTACCCCATTTTGCTTCGCTGTTTTTCGGGCTACAGTAAGACCCTACGGTCACCCGAAATGACCAGTGCAGTGACCTGAAAGTGCGTGGCTTCAGAATTCCTCGTAAACGGGCCGGGCGGACGAAAAGAGGTCCTCCCGTTGAACAGAAGCACTAAAAACAACGTTTGGGGTGCCCTCCCGACGGATTGGTTTGCTGTCCTTGGGTTCTACTTTGCGGACGGACGGACCCACGCCCGGCGACGTTTTTTGTTCTAGTCGAGTGGTTGGAGAGGCTTTCAAGGAGTTTTATAAGTTAACATGATATTTGTCATCAGAAGGAGTTTTTATGTGGAAGGTGAAGTGATGGAGCTTGAAACGCTTTAAAAAATAATCTTAGCCTTTTTTTCGAACAATTTTTGCAATAATGGCAAAAACGGCATGAGGAGTCGAACCCAAAAGTCTGTGGTCCAAAAAAGAAAAAAAGAAAAAAAATATTTACCCAAAAAAAAAATTAGAAAAGACGTTTTTAGAGATTCAATGAAAACCATTCTGCAAAAAAAAGGCAAAAACGGCATAAGGAGTCGAACCAGGGAGTCTCTGACCTCAAAAAATGGAATTGTTAAGACTTTCCTCAGTGTCAGTTTGAAGAAGTTAAGCAATTTGTCAAAAGGTGGAAGTAAAAAATGGCAAAAACGGCATGAGGAGCCAAACCAGATAGTCTCTGATCTGGTTCAAAAAGAAAAAATAAAAAAGAGTTTCCTCCGGAAGTTTCGAAGAAGAGAAAAGTTAAGAATTTTATCGGGGAGTTAAAGTTGGAAACGGCAAAAACGGCGCGGGGAGTCGAACCAAGAAGTCCATGATCCAAAAAAAAGTGGAAAAAAAATAATTAGTTCATCGTTTTTATACAGAAAAGGAGGTGATATTCATCAAAAAGTTAGTTGAAAAGGGCAAAAACGGCATAAGGAGTCGAACCAGGGAGTCCCTGATAAAAAGTAGATTAGTTTGACTTTTTTTATACAAAGATAGTGTGGAGATCCATGAAAAAGTTGCGTTGGAAATGGCAAAAACGGGATGAGGAGTCGAACCAGGAAGCCTCTGACCCTCGATAAATATATTTCAGGGCAACGAAAAATACATTTTTATCGATTTTCCCCGAAAGAAAGCAAAAATTTGGTAAAACTGTGGAATTTTGGACCGAGCGGGAGCGATCCAGCAACCCTTTTTCTCATATGCAATCTCCTAAACCACTGAGCCAACTGTCGATTTCCAGGTACGTCGTGATTCGTGCGCAAATCAAGCATCTGGGCGCTGAAATCGAGATTATCGACCATTTTACGAGGAATTTCCGGACCCATCTTCAGACGGATATGATGGTGAGCAAGTATTGAGTAATATGAGCAATAGAAGGGTGTTATGAGGATAATTCCAACTTGATTTTTTTGAGATGAACTATTTTGGAAAAGTGGGGGTTTTTGATCTTAAAAAGGATTTTACTTGATAAAATGACGAATATCTGGCTAACATGAGCAATAATAAGCAATATTCTGTTCACAGGTTTGACGTTTTTGAGAAAATTTTGACTTTTCGGGATTCACTTGCAAAAATGATGAGTTTCTGGCAAGCATGAGCAATAATAAGCAATTTTCAGTTCACGATGCTACACTCGGCCTACATACAGATCTGTCGTGAGAAAAGTTTGGTTTGAAACTGAAAACTGAATTTTCTTTGAATATTGTGAAATATTTTCCTGTCAAATTTTTGCCCCAAATTCCTGTTGAATTTTCATTTTTTCATTTTTGAACATTTTCCCAATTTTCCTGGACCTCTTGAATATCCGAGCTTCTTATCATATCGAATCACTTAATTTTAAATATTAGAACACAAAAAAATAGAGACTTTGAAGTAAAACGTGTAGATTTCTCTTCTGGTGCTGCTAATTTTTCTGTGAAATAAAGATTTTCTGTGATTTTACAGAATTTCAATAATTTTTCGGCCTTTCCGCGTTTTTTTGTGTGATTTTTTTGCACAAATTCGAGCTCGTAATTTTTTTCCAATATACAAAAAAAGATGGATTTTTTTCGAAAATATTCTTCACAATCCGTTCAGGACCAAATCAGGTTTGTTTTTTTTTTCATATAAAAAAAAATGAATTTAATTGAGTCAAACGTATTTTTGAACTTTTTTTTATTAGTCTTTCTGTTGTCGAATTTCATCACAATAGTTTAAAAAACAGCAAAAAAGCTTACGGCAAGCCGAATTCCCAAGCCGTCTCCGATCCAAGTACTACCGGCTCTCAACGTTGCTTAACTTGCCAGATCGGACGGGATGGCGTGTTTTCAACGTGATGTGGTCGTAAGCGACGTCGGTGCTGCGCCGCTGGAATACACCCTCGCACAGGACGCTTGTCAATGTTGAACATTTTTGAACAAAAAATTTTTTCTACGGTTTTTTTTTGATTGAATGAGTTCAGAATAAATGGAAATAATTAAAATTGCCATTAAGTTCTTAAAAAATGCCCAAACGACAATTGAATGAGTTCTTTTCATCGGCGTTTTTATACACTGCTTTTCAAAGATCATGTATCGAAGTTTTTTTGATCGTTATAAATTAATGAAATAATTAAAACTGTCAGACATGAAGAAAAATATTGAATTCTGAAAATCTCAAGTCTCGCAAATTTTTAAAAAAATTTATATTTTTTTAAAAAAATAAAGCTGTAATGTTGATGAAATGTAAAAAATTATTCAGGGCCATTGAGAAATTTTTTCAATGAACCGAAAAAATGGAATTTTCAAAATTTTTTTTATCTGAAATTTTTTAACACGGACAAGCGTCCTGCGCGAGGGTGTATTCCAGCGACGAAGGACAGCACCCGCTTACGACCACATCACGTTGAAAACACGCCATCCCGTCCGATCTGGCAAGTTAAGCAACGTTGAGAGCCGGTAGTACTTGGATCGGAGACGGCTTGGGAATTCGGCTTGCCGTAAGCTTTTTTTGCTGTTCTTACCTATTTCGAAAACAAAAATACTTGAAAACTTCAAAAGTACCTTATATATATATTCAGTAAAATTCCCGTTTTGGAAAAATAAACTTGAAACTTCACGATAATCTTGAAGAAAAATAAGTTTTGAGCGTTTTTGGTTGGAAGAAAGAAGAATTTTCCACTTTTTTCGAGATCACTGTATCATTTATCACTTTGGCGCCGAAAGTTTGAAGATTTGGGACATGCTATTGATATGAATTGACCTGGATATCCGTCACAGACGATTTGGCGCGTCGAGAATCGTCGTCTACTCGCTGATTTCCCGTTAATCGATAGCTTTTTCGAGAAATTATGTTTATTTTTTGTGTTCTTCTTCTTCTTTTGCGTATTGAAAATCTAAAAATTCAAGTATACATTTTTTTTTCGTATCTCAAGTTGGAAGCGTTTTTTGGCTCAAAAAAAACGGTTAAAATTAGGAATTTTCGTCTGAATTTCCAAAATTTGTAAAATTTTTGAATACAAGTTAAAGTCTAAGATAGTTCCTTTGAACATCAAAAAGAATTTTTCCTAAGCCAGAAAAATTTGAATATCGCTATAACTCGATGTTTAAACATTTTTTTAATAATATTCTCCAATTTAATATTGGGAATAAACAAATAATATCCCTCATTTTAATTATTACGATCAAAAAAACCACAAAAACCAAAATATCAAAAAAAAGTCATCGAAAATGAAAAAAAGAAATTTCGAAAATGTCAATGTTTGGGCAAACGCGCTCCATTGCAAACTTTCGGCTCCTCGTGCCGAATTAATAGTTTTTTTTAAAAACTGTTTTTTTCTTTTTCTATTTCTTATTACGTAAACTGATTCCAAAAATATATTTGTAGGATTTTTGATAAGTAAAAAGGAAGGAAAGTTTCATTTTTTTCAAGGTTTTTTTGCGTTTTTTTGTGATTTTAGTATGACATCAAGTTTTTCTAATGATTTTCCATTTGAAAAAAAAATTTCATTGATTTTTCATGAAGTTCTTTATCATTTCTTGAAAATTTCATTTTAAAATTCATTTATTCCCTCCAAAACACGTTGCTTCCAAAAATAGAAACTAATTTTTTTTCTTGCCGTTCGTCTTCTTGAAATGTTCGTGGGCGGCCATTTTTTGCCTCAAAAAGCTTGGGATGATGACGATTTTGTGTTCATCCCGATTTGGTTGTTCGTTCCGTGAGACTTGGAAGACGAAAACCCGTTGGATTTTGCGGCCGGCCACCGCCACAAAAACCATTTGATCATCATTCCGACGTCCCTCTCGTTTCATTCTTGGATTTTTGTTCCATGTTTTTGTCTGGCCATTTTTTGGTCGGTTTATCGTGGAGGTGTTCATTTTGATGCCGACATTTTTTTGTAGTCCAGCCCATTTTAAAGTTATTTTGAAGATGAGAAATTAGAAATGATGGTTGAGAAAAAATACAGCTCGAAAAATGATTTTTGAAGAAAATGAAAGCTGGAATGGCTAAAAAAAGATTTTAAAAAGCGATTTTTGAAGAAAAAAACAGCTCAAAAGGGTAATTTCGCCTCAATCTCCAAGATATTCATTTACTGATTTGAACTATTAATTTTGAAGCCAAAAAGTGAGAAAAAACGAAAAAAAAATGTTCAAAACCCTGACGAGCTTATTAAAGGAGCATGTACTTACTTCAGAAGGGTCTTGAGAAGAAAACTTTTTAAAGTAGTTTTTTGCGCTTTTGAAAGGTTTTTGAACATGTTTTATGTATACCAGGATTCAGGTAAAAAATTTCGCTTTGTTGAAAATTGAAGAAGATTTATGATTTTTGATGATTTTTGCCGGATCTAGCTTTTTCTTTTCTTAAACCGTTGAACTTTTGTCGGATTTAATTGAGAATAATACGAGATTTTTGCGAAAGCGTGAATTTTGACGAGTAGAAGGAAAATAAATAATTTTATTCTGCACCAAATTTTTCAAACTTTGGAAATTGTTTCTTTTGGTTTCTTAAATGCATCTCTTCATCTCAAGTGGGTCGAAAATGAAAAATATCAATATTTTTTTGACCGTTTTCCAGGTCAGTCGGCGTGAAATCAACACAACTCGAACTTGGGTGATTCGAATCGGGGTACGTTTTTGTTTTCGGCTCGAAAAAGTTGAATTTTCTTCATTCTTCCAGAAGAATTATATGAAAAATTAACTCCGAGTTTTGAAAAATCTTATATTTCTTCCTAACAACCACCTATTGGATATTTTTTTATTCCTTGTTTAAAAAAATCCGGCCGTTTCTTCAAGTTTTTTTCTGGATTTTTCTTCAGAATAAGAAAAAAAGTTGAAGGGCCGGAAATTTCTTCTTGTTCTTTTTTTGATAGCTTCAAAGCCGAATCAATAAATTTAAAGATTCATTTTTTATCTCCCTTTTCGATTTTTGCTGATTTTTATTGAATTTTTAAGAGTTTTGAGCCGAATCAATCGGCTTAAAGATGGACTTGAAACCTTGAAAACAACTTTTTTTCTGATTCAATCCAAATTCAGAAATTAGAATAGCTTTCAAGTCGAATCAAATAGTTTAAAAGTGCACTTAAAGTTTCTTCAACGAACTTTTCTAGTTTAGCCAAATTTTAAGAGTTCTCGACTGAACCTTCTCATTAGAATCGCCTTTTTTTTTAATGATCTTGAATCTATGAAAGCTTTTTAGTCGAAAATTACTTCGAAAAATGCCTTCCTTGGCGCTTTTGAGCTTCTCGAACAACACTGCCTGAAGTGCGAAAAACGGTTGCAAAATGGCCGCTGAAAGGGTTCCGTTTTGCGGCCTTTATTGAGCCTTTTTTTTCAAAAAAGGGTGAAGAAAGTCTTGGCCATTTCGATTTTATTACTGTAGCACATTTTGGTGCATACACAGTCACAGGTAAAGACATTTTCTATTCGAAAAATGCTCTCAAAAGGGTCCAAAAAGGGTGGATAAAGGCCGGTGAAAGGACGGAAAAAGGCAGGGTAAAGGAAACCGTTTTTGAACATTTATTGGAACCCTTTTTGCACCCATAACGGACCCTCAAAAGGCCTGTAAAAGGCCCCGTCCATGAATTTTCTCCCTGATTTATCCAAATACAGTGAGCTTTTGATCGAAACTTAAAGGCATAGGGGCAGTAAAAAACGGGGTTTCAGGTGAAAGCATTATCTTGTATAGTTTTTCATTGCGAATCGAACAGTGTACTCAAAAAAATTAAAGATGTGACAACTTTAGAAGAAAAACGCGATTTTACTTTCCCGCTTTTAATTTTGAAAAATGTTTTGGATCGGCCTACGGACAAATGTTTACAGTAGCCGTGCACGCGATGTTGCGGACGTCTCATTAGACTCGCATTTTGTGAGAAATAACCGGATATCTGCTTCAAATCAAGGGTTTCTTTTCTGAAAAAACGTTTAGTCAAACAAAAAACACACACCGATAATAAAGGAAACACAAAATAACGCTATCCCAATCGAAACCGATGTAAAATCGTCATTTTTCACCAAACAAGCATTTTTGCGATCAAAGTTTGCAAATTATACATGAATAGAAAGTTTTTGTGACGAAAAGAACTTTGGTGACAACAGAAAAAATTGAAAATTGAAAGAAACGAAGAAAAAAGCGAATATCCGAAAAATGGCGAAGCCTGTTGTCCATAGAGCAACTTTACTGCAAAGCGCACTTTTGGCGGGAAATCAAACTTTCCTCTCT